TCCAAGCTGAAGAAGCCCCATTGGTACAATGGTTGTTAAGTGCCTGGTTTCCAACCAGCTGTTTGGGGATTTGAAACCAAACAATCAGCTGAGCTATGGCAGAAAAGACTTGGTGATATAATTCCATAAACAATGCACCTGAGGAAATGCTCTGGGCAGTTCAGCTTTGCTCTATAGAGACACTAATGGGTTGGGATTGACTCAACGGCACACAAAAGCAACAACCACAGGGAATGATGACTGGCAGAGGGTACCAATCTGTTTCTTAACCTCCTCTTACACTGGATCCTCAAGGAGCTCTAGTAGCGTAGTGGTTACAAATCGGGCTGCGAACCTCAGGGTCGGCAGTTCGAAACTACCAGCTGCTCTGCAGGAGAAAGATGAGGCTTTCTGCTCCCATAAAGATATACAGCCTCAGAAACCCTGTACAGGGTCGTTATGGGTCAGAATGACTCCAAGGCACATAACCAGGACACTGGATCCTCATGCTTCACAGCATGGTGTTAGAATGATTCACAGCTAGTGAGATATGGTTAGGATGGCAGTCAGTCACTTTCAAGTGGAGATTTACTCCAGATTTCCCTCATTTCCTTGTACAACTCAGGCTAACTCCTCAACATTAATTAAATAAACATACATTTGTATGATATATTGTTGTTGTTGTTGTTGTTGTTGTTAGGTGGTATCAACAGGGTCCCACACTGCAACGTCCTGTGTCAGCCTCACAAATGTTGTTATGTTTGAGCTCACTGTTGTGGCTACTCTGTCAGTCCACCTCACTGGGGTCTTCTTTATCTCTGACCCTCTACTATACTAAGCATGATGTCCTTTTCTGGGAACCAGTCCCTCCTGACATGTTCAAAGTATGAGAAACAAAGTCCCACCGTTCTCACGTCGAAGGAACATTTTGGCTGCACTCATTTCAAGATAGGTATGTTAACTTTTCTGACAGTCCATGGTAAAATCAATTTTCCTCACTAACACCATAATTCAAATGCACCAATTAGTCTATGGTCTTCCTTATTTATTGTATGACTTTCTCATGCATATGAGGTGACTGAAAAGAATATGACTCACATCAGGCACCCCTTAGTCCTCAAACTGATGTCTTTGTCCTTTAACACCTTAAAAAGGCCCTATTGCAGCAGATTTGCATAACGTGCAGTTTGCTTTCTTGACTGTTCCTTCCATGAGTGTTGATTGTGGACTCAAGCAAAATGAAGTCTTTGACAGCATCAACTTTTCCTCCATTTTTTATCATAATGCTATTTTTATTGGTCCAATTGTGAGGGTTTTGATTGATTTCCATTGATGTGCAATCCACAATGAAGGCTAAAGTCTTTGGTCTTCATCAGAATCAGATGAGCAGCCTGCCCTAACTAGACACACTGAAATATTTCAAAAGTCCATTTCACTTTCAACAAGCAATGTTGTGCCTATGTATGAATGTATTTCTAGGCACTCTTCAAAGAAGGAGGGCATTGGTCATTCACGGGAAGAATTTTCATACACAACCCCCACAGTGTGGGAGATCCCCCAGTTTGATTCTTGCCAAATTCACCTCAAGCACAGCTCCTATTCATTGGTCCATGGGGAATTACAGGTTGCTCTGAAGCTGAAGAGTTTCAGACTAAGACAAACGAGGCAGAAAGGTCTGAAGATCTACTTCCAAAAAATAAGCTAAAGCAACCCGATGAATCACAGCAGACTGACACATTGTATATGGGGTTGCTATGAGTGGGGGGTTAACAATGACACTTTAGAGGACAAAAAAGGAACAGAGATGAGCTTAGTGTCATATTATTCATGAACCATTATTACCCGATCACGTATTTAAAAGTTCCTGTAATGATTCAGTTTCAATAAGTCTTGTTACTTACAAATTGCTTAAATAATCCAATATGTGAATAACATATCTTATGTCACTGACCCTGACTTGGGGAGCTGACATCATTCTTTGTTAGTAATTCCTCCTTCCTCCTGCCTTTTTTTATCCAGCCTTTTGGCATTGATGTGCATCCATGACAACTACAGACTGTGTAAGATTCCTCCTTCAGACTGTTATTTAAAGTTCAACTTCCATTATTAGTTTAAAAAGAAAATGAATAAAGAGATTGGGTGGCACAATCCATTACTCATCAACACCAAGGATTCTAGACACTTTGTTCTTTGTCGTAGACGGATGAAGGTGCCTGTGTCAATCCTGTTTTCTCTGCCCATTTCACCTAAATCAGACCACTTCCTGACACGGCCAGCAATCTAGAGCTATCTGTTCATATAATTTGTAAAAGAAAATCCTCAATTGGGGCTTTATCCAGTATTATCCATTTTCACTTTAGAATCTCCTGCTACCTTTCTTTTTCCTTTTTCTTTTTAACGAGGTTTATGTCTGGTATCCACTAATTGTTATGTTTTGCCAAAGCTATTATCTACCATGCTATTTGCCACCTATACATTTTCAGTTATAGCCCTAAGTTTTATAGCTAGAAGCTTCCAAGTAATTCTTGGTGTCAGACTTCATTCTCTTTCCCATTTTAAATTATCTACCTTTATCTTTGCTATTTTCTTAAGTTTCATTTCTCTCCTCCCTACGCTAGATTAAGATGGCATTTGACTTTATTAAGACAGTAAATAAGACCCAGAACTGTCTCCTACTGATTCGAGTTAACATTTCCCATGTTATTTTGTCGCTAAAAGGCTAGCTATAACTCCAGAGGGACTCAGGCTCTGTCATATGAAAAGACCACAGAACATAATTAAATATTAGCAGTTATGAAGCTTTTGGTAACAAATGAGGTTCAAAGGATAGTGGCTTTCTCAATGCATGGCAGGTGAGAAGCAGGCAAAGGATACAGAAAAGAAAGGGGAACAAACCAAACTTTAACGCAACTTTTTAGCCCTCTTTTAGAGAGAGCAGTTCTGAGATAGAAGTAAAACTAAGTTCCTCATATTGTGGCTTCTCTGGCTTTTTTCCCTTTTATTGTACTTCAAACAGCGTTAGTGAGAATGTTTGAATCTGAGACAGACAAACTTAACTGAGTTCCACACAATGACGTCATTCGAGTTGGTATCACTGAGTGAGGGAGCTCACGGAGTCACACTGTACCCCCTTGGGCCTTGTTACGTACTAGACTATGTTGTTGTTAGGTGCCATCGAGTCGGTACCAACTGGTAGTGACCTTATGCACAACAGAATGAAACATTCTCCGTCCTGAGTCAACCTCACAATCATTGTTACACTCGAGCGTATTGCTTCTGCCTCTGTGCCAATCCATCTCTCTGGGGATCTTCTGTTTCGCTGACCCTCCTCTTTACCAAGCATGATGTCCTTCTCCAGGGACTGGTCCCTTCTAAAAATATGTCTGCAGTATGAGAGACAAAGTCTGGCCAACCTGGCTTCTAAGGAGCATTCTGGCTGTACTTTTTTCAACAGATTTGTTCTTTTGACAGCCCATGGTACTTTTAATATTCTCCTCCAACACCATAACTCAAATGCATCAATTATTCTAAGGTCTTCTTTATTTATTGTATGTACCAGAGCATAAAGAATCCTTAACAACCAACATCCAAACCCCCTGGTTTTCTATTGTCAATTTCAATTCACAGCTACCCAATAGGACAGAGTAGAAATACTCCTTCGGGTTTCCAATATTGTATGTCTTTATGGGAGAAGACAGCCTCATCTTTCCCTTGTGGAGCAGTTAGAGGATTTGCAATGAGCAGTCCAATCCTTAACCACTCCTTACAAAATTCTTTGTAATGTGTATTGTCAATTTAATCACAGAATGGTGTTGTTATGTGCCGTTGAGTCAGTTCCAACTCATAGTGATTCTGTATAGTGTTTCTGAGGAGCGGCTGGTGGGTTTGAACCATGACCTTGCACTTAGCAGTCCAATGCTTATCGTAGGGTGCTATGCCAGAATTCCACATTATAGAATAATATGGGATAAATCTAACTGTAAACTGATTAAATGTAATAATTTTTAGATTATATGAATACTAACATCAAAACAGCATTGTAAAATATTGTTCCATTGTTAGTTATAACATAATTATTGAGCAGAAGCCTTTACAATTTTTTTTCTCCTTTTCTTTTAATAACCACTTCTGTCTCCAAATTGTTATTGATGTAAGTTCACAAATACTAACTACCACAATATTGGAGGTTAAGATACCAGAAAATTGTACAAAATCAGTGACTATAAAACTATTGACAGCAACGGAAAAAACAGCACAGCGTGCCCGGAAGTACACACAAAGCCACGTGATTTAAAGTATCACTGTAATTGGGTAACGATGACAGCTCTGAGCAGAGCGTACTGCTATTGTTGTTGTTGTTGTTGTTGTTAAGTATCCTCAAGTAAGTCCCTATTATAATGACCCAGTAGAGAGTTTCCACAGAGCTGTTGTTGGGTTTGAACCACTGACCGTGTGGTTAGCAGTTCAGTGCTGATCCTAAAGTGCTACACCAGTACACAGGGCAATAATGACATGTCTGACTAGGGTATATTATTGTTGTTAAGTGCCGTCGAGTTCAGTTCTGAGTTTCTGAGGAGTGCCTGGTGAGTCTGAAGCACCCACCTTGCGCTCCAGTAACGATCCTACAGTGCCATCACTGGAATGTTCAAAAAGTAAATTAGCATAGTGTTCTAACTTTGCCTGTATATTGATGCATGTAAGCTGGGCTTATGAAAAATGCTTTTGTTGTTATAACTAACTACAGTGATATTTTTATTAAAAATAATACATTAATAGTGACACCGGCGGCTCCACAAACTTTTCATCACCTCTCCAAAAGAGACTCGAGGTTTCCTTCATGTATTTACTACATGTTGTTCAAACCAGTAAATCATAAAGACTGATGCATTTAATGTCTGGATTTGCCAAACACATCAAAAGAATCTGTTTTTGCCAGTAATACTCTGGTGGCTCCCCACAATGACTCAGCTCATTTACTTAAAATCCTCCGCTGATATTTTAGGAGGTAGTAAGTCACCAACCTGCCAGCCTTGTAATTTACACTGTTGGAGAATAAGCCGACATTTCTCCTCAGCAGACAGTTTCTTCTTCTCACCCAGGAATGTATCAGTCAGTGGCTTGAACCTGTGAGAAGCAGCAAGAACATGAAAGCAATGACTGAATTTGTCAAGCAAACGATTATATCCAACAGGGTGGTCTTTGTTACAGTGTGTCTCAAACTTTTTCCCATTCTAATTTTATTCCAAGTAGGGCTGCGAACCTTAAGGTCAGCAGTTCGAAACTATCAGCTGTTCCGTGGGAGAAAGATGAGGCTTTCTGCTCCCGTAAAGATTTACAGCCTTGGAAACCTTGTACAGGGTCGCTATGAGTCGGAACCGACTCCATGGCACATCACGATCACGAGATCCAGACACTTCATCCCTTGTGCATTTCAAGAGTGGTAGTGAATAATTCTTATCTTTTAAATAAAAAAAAACGTTTTTTTAAATAAGTCAAATATTTAATGTAAGTTCAACATTATTGTGGTGTGACAAAGCATTTATCAAAATAAAACTTGAAGAGAAAAATATCTGTATATCCATATTAATATTCATGTTGTTGTTAAGTACCATTAAGTTGGTTCTGACTAATAGTGGCCCTGTATAGGGTTTCTGAGGAGTGAGTGGTGGGTTTGAACCACTGACCTTGAAACTTAAACTGACCTTATAGTCCAGTTCATTATCCTGCAGCACCACACCAGGACAATATAATATTAATATTGCCATTTAAATATTTGTTATGCTCTGAAAATATACTTTTCTTAGGAAAGTTAAGCATTTTTTATTACAACTTAAGAGTAAATCTAGATGTAGTTAAAATCCATACTAAAGGAATATAGAAATTCCAGAGATTTCATTTACATGAGAAATCAATAGATGTGTTTACTTCCATACAGATTAAGTGTTAAGTATTTAAAATATTCCAGAAGGAAAATTTTATCTTGGAAAGTTCTTCTGAGTAACAGACTTTTATTCCCTAGCTGAAATTCATGTCACTATAACTATTTACCATGAATTAAAAGACATGATTTCCAAAATTATATCACTCAATTTACAAAGATCAGAATCTGTATGACATTGCCTTTGCCTTTACTCTATCTGGGCAGTAAGAACCAGCATGAATCCCATCTCTAGTCCTCACATTCCCACTTCTCCATCCTCATCATCAGCCACCTCCACAGCACTCTCTCTGGCCCTCGCCACCTAGAGCTAGAACAGAGCTCACAAGTAAAAATAACACCATCTTCAGAGTGCCCAGAAGATGCCAGCTTAAGTTTAGAGAATCTGTATAACACGGCATCCTTTCAGGAATCCAGATGCTAGCTTGGGAGTCCACATGATATTCTCATTTTCTAAGCTGGCTCCTACTAACCCTTTAGGTTCGATCATTCTGGGAAAAACTTACAGAATTCATGGAAATTCTACAAGAGCAAGTAAATATGTACTGCTACAAATGTACAGAAGCCTTTACTAAACACAAATATAAAAATGTGAAGCTATTGTTTCCTCATGGATCTTTATCTAGATCCATACACTTCTGAAAGTGGTATTTCCATCTCACGAACCCTCTCCCAAAAACTTCTGCACTCTTCAGTTTATATCACATCAAAATGGCAGTTTGGGCATCCTGAAGGCATTCACATTGGGGTCCTTTTTCATGTTCTTTGAGTTTGGGGGAAACAAAAAGAAGTCTAAAGGAGCAAGATCAGCGCTGTCGGTTGGATGTGTTAACATTTCACAGCAGAAACTCACATAGGACAGCCATTGTTACTGTTAAAGAATGAGCAGGTATGATGGGAAACAAATCCTTTACACGACTTTCCTGGCCTTTGTCTCATCAATGCAGTTTTCAGTTTTCCTTATGACCCCTTCAGAGTAAACCTCCGTGATTGTCTTTTCTATTAAAATCTATCAAGATGATCCCTTTGGGAATTAAAACAACTGTCTCCATAAACTTCTGAGCTGAACTCTGGGTTTGAGTTTGGCCCTGCAAATCCCCCTCAGAAGTCACTGTTTTGATGAAACCATTTTTGCTGTTATTGTTTTTAAGACACCCTAATGAGTCCTGGTGTGGCGCTGTGGGTTAATGCACCAGACTGCAAAGCCATTTGAACCGCAAGGTCGGCAGTTCAAGCTCACCAGCTGCTCCTCAGAACCCCTATACAGGGTCGCTATGGGTCGGAACCGACTCGACGGCACTTAACAATGAGATTAAGACAAGTGTATTATTGAGCGAACTTGTCTGTAGCCAACATTGAACCCCCAAACATGTTTAATCAGGTTTTGTTTGGAATACACTCATGCATATATTAACTGAAACCCTAGTAAAAATACTTTGACTTAAGCTCAGACCATACATATGACGACATATTTAATAGAATCAAAAAGGATCTAGATGAAGACATATACACACAGAATAAGGTCTAGAAAAGTCACCAAAGCAGAGCTTCCATATACCAAGAGCCCCACTAAGTCTCCTAAGACCATCTGCTCTTGTTAACTAGGAAGTTCTCTGAGCTGCTGTGTTTAGGAATTTTGTCGGTTAATCCTGTATCGGGCCTCTGAGGATACTTGATAAAGCCCTTACAGTTGAGTCTTTTCTTAATTGGCCAGCCTTCACTAGCCAGCAAAAATCAAGTGTGGTAGAAGTCCCATACTATGACTCCCTGATTTTTGCAAGGGTTATTACTCCAGACACAAGGAAAACTGGCACCTTATCACCTTATTTGGGCAAAACTAGGTCCTTTACTAAGGTGCTCTGGTAGAGTAGTGGTTATGAGATGGGCTGCTAACCTCAAGGTCAGCAGTTCAAAACTGCCAGCTGTTCCATAGGAAAAAGATGAAGCTATCTGCTCCCATAAAGATTTATGGCCTCAGAAACCCTATACAGGATCGCTATGAATCAGAACCGACTCCACAGTATACTACCATCACCACGACCACCACCACCAGGTCCTTTATTCCATAGTCTTTAATCTGACATCTAAGAAAACACTGAAGAAGGAAATGTACCATATTCCCTGGTGCTCTATTTTTATCACTTTCAAGTCAGGCTGCGCTGTAAGCTAATGTGAATTCAATGCCAAATCTTAAGGGGGAGCACATACTGTTTATCACATATGTTTCCTGTAGCATACCTTAGCATTTCATTTAGAGTTTACTGCAGAAAATCTGGCATCTTCCAAAATCAGTTCTTTCAGTTTCTTTAGGGCAATTACGGAAGGACTGCATCGCTACACAGTCTGATTTAACATACCCGCTCTGAGTGAGTAGTCAGAGCATTCTACATGTGTCGGTGACAGCCACATCACATTTATATCCTTGTCTACATTACGCAAGTACTGCAGAGAATGAGATCCCAGGACATAGGACGTGCAGCTGTAACTCTAAGGCTGGATATAACATAGTAGAAACAAACCGAGTTGACTTTTTCAGTAGAAGATATTTCCCATTTGTTTCCTAACTCCATAGCATGTATTGTCATTGTCAAATATCAGCATATTATTTTCCCCTGGACGGAAAACCAGAGGAAAATAATACAGTCACGCTAATCATGAGTCAGCAAAAATAAAATATCATCAGCAACTACCCTTCCTTCTCAGGTATAGATTCTTGTTCATGTATCAGGGAAAAGATGAGTATAACAGTAGCAACAATAGAAAGTAAAATAACAAGGACAAATACTGAAATTGTAGTACCAGAGGCAAGGATATTAAAACAAACAAACAAAAAAAAACACATGCTCATCATTTTAATCATACCAAATGATTTTCTTTTTCTTTTTTTGGGTAAGGAGCAAATATATGCTTTCCCACATATGAGGCACTGAAGCAGGTTTATTTGTTTAATAAACTGGCCATTCTATGGTTGCTGCAGAAGAGAAAAGGGAATTTTTCTGGGAGAACAAAGCAAAGTGGGAGTAGTGGAGTGAGTGTGTGTGTGTGTGTGTGTGTGTGTAGGGTCAGGGAATTGGAGTAAACTTTGCAAAGGACAGTATATTTAGGCAGCTTAAATGGTGGTGGGTAACCCCTAAAAATGTTGTTGTTATTGTGAAGTGCCGTCAAGTCAGTTCCAACCCATAGCGACCCTACATAGGGTTTCTGAGGAGCAGCTGGTAATCTTGAACCACAGACCTTGCGGTTCAAATAGTTTTTCAGTCTGGCGCATTAACTCACAGCGCCACACCATAACTCTAAAAATGCTGCCCCTGAAATCAGCGTATGTTATAAGAAACTACAGATGTTTGAAACGGTTGAGTGGTTGAAAAGCTACAAGTAACAGAATTGTACAATGTGATCTAATAGGAAATTAACTGGATTGGAGATGTGAAGATCAAACTTCAGTTTCCCACATCACTTAGCAAGTAATTCTCTTCCTTCTCAGCACTGTACGTCTACATAACTCACAGTTTCTTCAGAATTTCTATTTTGTATTATAAGCACTATGTTAATTCCTGTCTTTCTTCCAAGTGTGTGAGCTTGCGCATATCAAGGAGCTATCTATGTACATTGTATAGTATCTACTGGAGTTCTGGTGTGGCATTGCGGGTTAATGCACTGTCAGGGTAATGCAAGGTTGGTGATTCAAGCTCATCAGTTGCTCCTTGGAAACCTATATAGACTCGCTATGAGTCAGAACTGATTTGACTGCACTTACCAACAACAAAACAATCCTTAGGATTTCCTAAGGCGCCTTGGTAGCATAAGGGATACATGAGTTGGGCCGTTGAAATCTACCAGCTGTTCAGGAAGAAAGATGAGGCTTTCTACTCCTGTAAAGAGTTACAGCCTCGGAAATCCTATTGGGGTTGCTGTGAGTTGGAATCAACTTCATGGTACACACACCACTACTGGACTGTCTACGTACAATTGGCAGGTGCAATTAAATGATGAGAGGCCAAGAAATCACAAAGTAGCAAATGGGGGGAGAGAAGTGACATGGGGGAGGGCAGTGACATTTCTTTTGTATTGAATGTACAAGGTTCTGTTCCTAAGCCACTTTACACACTTCACTGAGGTAGGATGCCTGTATGACGCTTCTCTTTTGACAGTGGGAAAAGATGCTTGTGCATACTAAGTCATTTGT